TGGTTACTCCAAGGTGCTGGACAGAGCTTTAAGATTCTAGTTTTTGGACCTAGACACCAAAGAGTACTTGAGTCAGGAGAGCCTGACTCGGGTAAGCTTGAAAATTCTAGAAAAATTTGGCAAGCTTTTTCTCTTGGCTCAGAAATTAAGGCTGACATTTCAAAAATTCAGCCTGAGATGCAAAGAGGAAATCATGGCTATTTTATTAACACAACCAGGAGTTTACAGAATCCCCTGTCTGCCCAAGCTCCCCACCTACCCCTGATACCAGCTCTGAAATCTCAGCTTGAGCTGAAAAATCACAATCAGCTTACCCTGCCTTGGAGATGGGGTGGCTGCTCCCTTTGCAGTCGTGATCCAGAGGATGCCGATGTTTTATGCAGAARTTGCCACCACACTGTTCACAAACCACCTTCATCATCTCTTTCTTTTTGCAGCCTGGCTTTAAGCATCTGTTTGTGAAGATCTAAGGAAGAGAGGACAGGAAGTTTGCAATGTTTGCTTTCTGTGAGCAGTGACCAAGCTGAAGCACAAGTGTTCAAGAACCCTTAGAGCTAAGATGAAGCAGAGCAATGCTACACATTCTGCTGTCAGAAGGCCCAACTTCACAAAGATTAGGAAGGCAGTTTAGAGTTGAACAGCAATTTTCTCACCTTCTGCTTTTGCTGTGCTGGATTATATTTGCAGTCCTTATCTATGTGGGCTCCAACCACAATATCTGGGATTTCTCCCTTCTGCACTGGGATAGGAGTGTTACAGAGGGGACACACTGGAACCTGCACATTCTRCAAACATAAAACATAGATCAGAATCACAGAATTACACAATTGTTTAGGTTGAAATAGACCTTTAAGATAATCAAGTCCTATCCTATTTTTCTGTCCTTCCCTTTCTCTGTCCCACAGGTGATAGAGGCCTATTCCTAAGTGTTTCATGTTTTCATTTACTAATGCTTTTAAAGATACAATAATAAATGCAAATCACCATCTGAAAACCACAGACATGCCTTGCCAAATGAACTTGTAGCTACATATTTGGTAAGTTGACTTTAAATATCCTTTTGGCTTTTCTGGAATTACAGTCTTTGAATACTTCTAAACCCAAGTACAGCCCATTAGATCAAAGTTTGAACCCACTTGTTCTATTTATTTCTTCTGTAGTTTCATGTTTGCTCTCCTTCAACTTATAAGACTTGGACTGCAGAAAATTTTAGACACAATACATTATATTACTTAAAATATAAAGCACTCTTCTCTGGGAAATGCACTGTAAGGGAAAGAAAATACAATCTACCAGCAGCAACTTCTGAAATGTCATGTTTCTATATATTTGAAATCCAGATGTCTTATTAACTTGCATCTTGTGGTTCTCTCATCCACTTCTATTGAAGCCACAGGTGAAGTTTCAGAGCAGCCTTTATAAGTGACTAAGCAATTCTGCAGGGTGAATTACTGACTCACATCAAACAGGAACTTACTTTYTTGTAAGCAGAGCTGCACCTGTGGTCATCATAACGGATGTGATCTTTACAGAAGACTTCCCCACATGCATCGCATTTCAGAGGAAGGAAATCTGGGAGAATAAAGAAAGAAAAGAGGTTTTCATGGAACAAAGCTAACAACTCTGAGTGTACTCACAAAAGACTACAAATAAATTCTAAAGCAATTTTTGTCTAGTCACAATCCAATTACCTCTGAAGAGATTAGATCATTCCTCACAAATATTAAAGAGTAGTAAGTTTTTGTCTTTTAATCTGTAGCGTAAGACAAACTCAAGCCATAAGCACCTCAGGAGATTCTCGAATGCAGGAATCTCAGTGAGAACTGAGAGATGAAGTACAAATCCAAAGCCAAGCTTCAAAAATAATTTTACTCTTGAAAAGCCCCCCTTAACAGCTTAACACGTACAAGAACAACAACCATCACTCTTGCCCTAGACCGGCTGAGGGCGGACTACAATAGCAGCCCTGTACAGCCCCGGGGAACAGGACCGGCCCCCGGTACACGCGTTACCCCTCCGTGACGAGCCCACCGGGGCGGGTGATGCTCGGGGGCTCCAGCCCGGGGGATCGCTCCTTACCGAGGCCGCACTTACCGAGCTGTTTGCAGGAGCGCTCCGAGCAGTGCTCGCCCAGCCACGGGAGCTCCATAGCGCGGGGGGAGCCTCACCCGGTGCACACGGACACAAACGGGGACACAAAACCGGACACAAAGCCGGACCCAAAGCCAAGCCCCGCCTTTATCGGCTCCGGCGCTGAGTCACCGCCGCCACGTGCTGAGTCACGCTCCCGCCGCGCCGGCAATGACGTCACGGCCGTCCGAGCCAATGGAGAGCCCCGGGGCCGTCACCCTCTGCTGCGCGCGCGTGGCCGGCRGCCAATGGGAGCGCGGGGGAACGGCTGAGTCACGGTTGGGGGCGGGGC